ACCATTTCTTTTCTAAGTGGTTTTTCACTAGCTTGACTCATTAAAAAGATGTGCACATGCATGTATGTGGATAAGTAATAATACCCAGGTGCAAAATTTCAGGTTTCTAAGTTCTTTCCTACGTGGTTTTTTGCTTGCTTACCTCACAAAAATATGTTTACGCATGTGGATAAGTAATAATACCCAGGTACACACCCTCATGGTCCACTTAGAATGGCTGCAAAATTTCAGGTTTCTAGGTTCTTTCTTTTTGGAGTTATGGCAGTAAAGGTTATTTTCTATGTGGTTTTTTGCTAGCATGCTTCATAAAAAGAAGTGCATGCACATCGCTAATTAATAATACCCAGCTGCACACCCTCAGGGTCCACTTAGTATTGGTGCAAAATTTCAGGTTTCTAGGTTCTTTCCTCTTGGAGCTATGGTGGTCACACATACACTGACACGCATGTGCTCTCGTACATGCACACACATGCGTGTCTGTCTGCAATTTCTATTTGTAATATAAGGAACCACTTATTTTCTATGTGGTCTTTAACTAGCTTGTTTCATTAAAAAGATGCACACACTCATGCGAGTACACATGTGAATAAGATAAGTAATAATACCCAGGTGCAAACCCTCAGGGTACACTTAGTATTGGTGCAAAATTTCAGGTTTCTAGGTTCTTTCCTCTTGGAGCTATGACAGTCACACATACACGTACATGTATGTGCAAGTTTGTGATTTCTATTTGTAATATAAAGAACCACTTCTTTTCTAGGTGGTTTTTTTGCTAACTCGCCTCATTAAAAAGATGCACATGCACATATGCATGTGGATAAGTAATAATACTCAGGTGCACACCCTCAGGGTCCACTTAGTATTGGTGCAAAATTTCAGGTTTCTAGGTTCTTTCCTCTTGGAGCTATGACAGTCACACATACACGTACATGTATGTGCAAGTTTGTGATTTCTATTTGTAATATAAAGAACCACTTCTTTTCTAGGTTGTTTTTTTGCTAACTCACCTCATTAAAAAGATGCACATGCACATATGCATGTGGATAAGTAATAATACTCAGGTGCACACCCTCAGGGTCCACTTAGCATGTGTGCCAAATTTCAGGCTTCTAGGTTCTTTTCTCACACAGACAGATTTAGTTTACTAAATTGAATACTTGAAATAAATAAAAATTATTTGAAGGACTAACAACAACCATACCAGAAATTAGGGTTAACTTTTACTTAGACTGAGTGCAAAAAACAAAATACAAAACCCACATGTAAGTACTAAATTTCTTAGTGGGGTTTACACAAACTACAAGTGGGTTACCATATTCAATATTTTGTTTTCTGTAATTTAAGCTATGAACTCATTCAGTGATTTCCAGTTTCTTATAGGGCTTTAGTAGTTAGAAATGATTCAAATAGCAATAAAATTAAATAAAAACAGATGTACAATGTTGGAAGCCTAAGGCTGTTTAGGATAAATAGCTGCAACTTCTGTTACAATTTTCAGTTATTCTATAGAAAGGGTAAATTGGATTTATTTCATATTCCTTCTGGTGATTACAAGATCTGTCAAATGGATCAAATCCTTATAGTGTTAGGGAAGAAAAACATTTTTTATGAAAAAAACTTGATATTCATGTAAGATGTTCTAGAGCAGGCCTTGACAAACCCCGGGCACCAAGTTGCCATGGAAACTCAAAAAATAGCCATGGCCCCTAATATTTTCTCACATTTTATTCGTGCATAGGACAATGCTAAATAGAACTCGAATCTAAAACATTTCTGGACTCTTGGAAGACCGGAACTATTTTCGTGTTCTTTGAGTCCAAAATCAAACTTTGTTTCTAGGATTTTAATGGTGGATTCAACATTTCATGTTTTTTCAGGAATGAAGTGTTGCAGTTGCACAACACATTACTAGTTTTCCACCATTTTGTTTTTTATCTTTCTCTCAATTCAACCAATCAGTGCACGTGTTTAGACACGGAAGGGACCAAAGGCAGTTAGTTCAGGCAATACTATCAAATGGTTGTTGATATCATGTGATTGTTAGCATACACTCATTTCTGTGAAAGTAAATAAATATACACTGGTGCCTTGATTATCTGTGCTGGTCAAGGGAAAGCAAAAAATCGTGGATAACAGAAACAGTGGATAATTGAGGCACTAATGTATCTCACTAGTTAGCCAACTGTTTAATCTAAATAAATCTTTTCAATATATTTAAATTCCTTGTTTTAAATTATAATCTTTTTACTGTCATTTAATCACATTATCATGAAAAAATATAAAAATCATAGCAATTATAATCATAAAAGCCAAGTGTCGGTTGGTCAGTGTCAGTCATTTATGCTCGATTTCTCTGAATTTCGCGAGTCCAATTCCACTTTTCCTCCTATAATACTTCCTCTTTTGATTGCCTATTCTCACTTTAGCTGAATTTAATCGTTAACATAGGCATAAATAGCTCCTAAATTTCAGCACTTCTTTTGCTATAGACATGAAAGTGCATTCGCACCCTATCAACGTCTGTGAACAATAAGTCAAATTATTGCAAATCTATGCTTGGGAATTATTATGAAAAAAACTTTGTTAAAACAGACTAAATATGCCACTTATCTGTAAGGAAGAGGACAATGCATAACTGGGCAACACCCCAACACAACCTGAACATGCTTCTGTGGTTGAAGCATAGAACAGCAGACGACAACTGAAGTTGAGTGAAACCTTTAAGAAATCTTAATGTGCATTTTGTGTGTTTTTGTACACTTTGTTTTTAATCACTAATCAAATAAAGTTAATCATGCTACAAATATTTTGTAATTCTGTCTTAACAGCTAAAAATAAGAGGCAAGGCTGGGCATGAACTGGCCAACTTACAATGTGAGCACACACCAGATTCTGCAAGAAAAGACCCCAGATATTATGCAACACCTAAAGTTTTGCAACCAAAATTAATTTGTGAGCAACAACTTCTCCAAAACATGTAAATTATTGTCTATTTTGAGAAAATATGGAAAAAAAAACCCCCGCAGATAATCGAGGATCATGGATAGTAGAGGCACAGATAATCAAGGCACTAGTGTAGTTCTCATTTCCCGGTACAAAAAATAGAGAAGTTAGGTTTGTTTGTTTGTTTTTTAATTTTGTGCAAAGCTACACGAGGGTTATCTGCACTCGCCATCCCTAATTTAGCAGTGTAAGACTAGAGGGAAGGCAACTAGTCATCACCACCCACCACCAACTCTAGAGCCACTCTTTTATCAGCAAATAGTGGGACTGACCGTCACATTATAACATCCCCACGGCTGAAAGGGCGAGCATGTTTGGTGGGATGGGGATTTAAACCTGTGACCCTCAGATTGAGAGTCAAGTGCCCTAATGACCTGGCCATGCTGGGCCTAGAAAAGTTAGGTTAGGCACGCCTGGCTTCTGAGTTTTTTGGCTGGCTCCTAGATCTAAAAATATTTGTTGAGGCCTGTTTCAGAGGTTATGTAAATGAAGTATTTTTTAAGATTAAAACTGCCCTGCACTTAGATTAGTTAGAGTCTGAGTCAGACTGACTAAGATAAATTCAGAAACAAATCTTTAATAGAAATACTTTATTAGAGAATGCCTTACATTTTAAAGAATGATGTATTGTTAGTTTTATTTTCATGGAAAAGAATGTGACATCAGTGGAAGGGGCAGTTATAGATTGTGTCAAAAATTCAAATTTTAGAGTCAAATTTAAAGTTCAAAAACATGTACTGATGATAAAAATATTGTTAACTGGCACATTGCTAAGTTACAGGAATATACAAAAGACTGTAAAAAATTGTGATGGCCAAAATTTGATTTCTCTCCAAATTTGCAATATTCTCTATGTATTAAAACCTAAAATAACAGGAATCTAACACTGTGTGGAGTAATTCTAAGTGAATACATGTTGTAAAACTTTTTTTATATGTGATTGATCTTAGATATATACGGAATTACCAAAGAACTTCAAAATTCCCAGTTTCTGACAATGATGGTAGATTAAACAATCTGATTCATCTGAATGACAATAAACCACAATTATCATGTGATCTATCACAGGTGATTTGGAAGTGCATAAAGAGTTTTTTGAGCTATACGAAGTTCCTTTGGTTGATGCTGCTTCAATTGAAACTTTTAACAAAGGTGTTTTTATCCAAGTGAACTTGTGTTTCGAGATGCTAAGGGGCTAATGATATGATGGGGCAAGTATTAAAAGTAACATTGGAGATTGCATTGTCAAAATAATTAGTGACCTTGAAATAAGGACAGTGTTTACTTACTGTTACAAGAATTTACTGAATCTTGTGACCAGTAATACTCTCAAGTAGTCCCAGGTAATGAAGGACTCACTAGAAACAACTTATGAAATTTGCTACTTCTCCAGTTCCTTTTCTGTTCATAGTACTTATAAATTCTTAAAACAGCTACTTGTCCAGTTCACAGTCTGTTTATAATAGTTACATTAGAAAGATTAATGTATAAAATAGGAAAAAAGGAAGATTTTAATATAACCCCAAATCACAATTTCTCATGATTTAAAACTGATAAAAATTTCATTGATCACCTCTTATTTCAACCATATTTGTGAGACTAATTACAAACAAGAGGGAATCCTCAATAGCTGTAGCACTTGAAATTCTTTTATGCAGGATTAGAGTAAATTAATCTATGAGACCTTTATTTTCCTTTTTATTAGCTATATTTTTAGTACAACAGTAATAACAAGTGTGGGGCGCGCATATCTGATTCCATTTTATTACTCATCAGGATCTCTACCAGTCTATGAGGATTTGATCTCCTGAGTCCAAAACTGTAATTAGATCTCATATTGGTCAAGAGATGATGGAGCTACAAGCTAAAAGTTTGTACTTGAAAAAACAACAACAACAAAAAACTCAGAGCCATTCTATGAGCCACTATGCCATGGCTAAGAACCTAATTTTTAAATAAACTGTTTCACTCATCAACTTATAATTATCAACACTTACTTTGATGACTCTGATGATTCTTATTTTTAAAGGTGTCAACAGAAACAACCGTGTTTCTAAAGATTTCCTGCTCTGACAGCCTAGACATTGGATTAAGATGTTTCTCATTCTTTTTGGTGTCAAGCATGCCAAAAGTATTCATCTGATATGGAAGTCTTAGAGATTGATCAAATGCTTGGGAATCCGTAAAATTTCTTGTTACTGGAAGAAAAAGCATATTAGTTAACACTCTTACTACAGGTCGATCTAGCCAAGTTTGTAGTTCCAAAGTGACCATCGGAATCTCCATACAAAAACTTAATATCTTTTGTGTATCTTCATGAAATTTGGCAAGCTTTCAGTAAACATTACACAAAAAAAATCTTATTTTCTAATTAAGTATTTATAATAAAACTTTTTTGTGAATATAAGGGTTAAAAGTGTTGATTAATCCAAGTGCAAATTGATTTTCATGTTAAGATTCAAAATACTTTTCTTCATTGAAAGTTGTCAAATTTTATTTGTGTAATCCCTAAAATCTCCTACATAAATATCAAACGTTTTTTCAGTAAAACTTAAAATTTTATGTTTTTTCTCTACTTTAACTTTCTATGCATTTGGTTGATTAGACCAATCTTGTCACCATCATAAAATAATAGGAAATAAATCTAAATTACCCTTTTTTCTTTGTAAAATATCTGCAAATTGTAACTGGACACTACAGTTGTTTATCCTAAATAGTTTAAAGTTTGTAACAATATGCATTTGTTTATACTAAATTTTATCATTTTATTGACCTTTGACCTGTGCCTAACTAATCATTCTACCACATTCTACTCAGCAAACATGTAGCTCAAGTTACATTACTAAATTATGTAAATAACGAGCTGCTTGCTAGCATACCTCATGAATTTATTTTATTTTTTCATTATCTTATCTTTTAAAATCTAATAAACTTTCTAATTTTTACATTTTAATTACTTTTATAACAATAAAAAAAGAATATACAGGAAAAACAAGAAATAAATCACTTACTCGTGACCTCATTTTTGTGCTGTCGGTTACCAATTAAAGTTAAACCTGCTTTTTATACAAATGTACTAGTACACTAGATAATTTTTATTTACTTACATAATGCACCTAAGAACTCAGAACAATAACATGCACAAAGCAAACAGTGTCTTCTAAGTATCATAATTTTTCTTGTTTTCCAACGATAGCATAAGAGCCTTTAAATCTTACTTTAAGCTTGTTGATCTTAAGGCTGCGAAAGAAAATTTCAAACTGAAGAACAAATAGACAATTCTCTGTACTGAAAACAATGTAATATAATACATTTGAGAGATTAAAACCTATGCTTTCTATTGTTTATAAATGATATAGTACAAAAAGTCAGAGAGAACTATTGGCAATTTGTGAAAGAGAAGATGGTCTAACTTACAACATAAACAAATAAGATTGAAGGCTATACAATTTTACTTTACCTTAGTAATATATATATATTTCAATGAGTAATTTACATTAAATTCCATACTTCTCAGAGGAGAGAAAAATAAATTAGAGAAGAGGGAAGACCTAGAGAACAAATGTCAATTTTCATACTAGAGGAGAGTGAACATTTTTAAAAGTATTTCCTTATAAAACTTGTATGATATTAATATATTATTCATTATGTTTCAATGCTAAGTTTATTACACTGCTTGTATTCACAGTAGTCTATGGCTTCAGTATTTCTTTTCAGAATGTAAACAATAACACTATTGAATATGGTTGTACAGCTACATACTGTCACCTAATCAAAAACATCTTAGGTGAGAAAAAACAGGTGCAACCAAAAAAGGATTGAGCGTGTGACTTAAAGGAATGAAATCAAAATTGGCAGTCAAACTGGTAGCCATGCTTAGAGCATTGATAAGAATTTTACAGCAAATATTCATTTATTAGTTAGCCAAGCCGTGTTTTTTGTTCAACTTGGGATACGATGGTGGGCAAAACAGAAAGTGGAAAATTGCTATCACTGCTAGTAATAAGACACAGTTGTCCTAAAGGTTGTTTTGGCTGCACAATACTGTGTATTGATTAACACTTAATTTTTCAGATGCATTAGAGGGTATGAATAACGACACAGGCAGGGTTTATTTTCAACTTTCACAACACAGACCTGTGAATTTTGAATTATAGGGAAAAAAATGATAAACTTAAAAAAAAAGAATATATATATAAATTACAATTTTATACTTTACAGTACTTAAAGCAGTATTCACAAATGTCATTGGACAAAGTCTTGTGTACACTGTTTACTTCACATTTTTATTTTTCACAATTTTCCTTCCCTGCTCTGTTGACTGACATAAGTGCATTCGCAAAGAAAACATTTGATTTGTAACTTCACATTTCATGAATATGGTATTGTTTTTCACTTAAAGTATCACAACATAGTAGGTTATATATTGATCAGTTTAAGCTTTCCACAGTGAACCTAGATATTCATGTATCCTATACTTTATTGTTTTAATATATCAAGCCATTTAACATCTGTTTAACCTAATGTTGTATGAACATTTCAGTTATGTATTTCAGTTATGCATTTCTGTCAAAAACTTCACTTAGAACTTTGTCAATCCAAATCTATATTTCTACAAATTTTTCTGCACTCATGTCACATTTTAAGCATCTTTTACAATAACACAATGAACAAATCCAGAAGAACAGGTACAATAACTGATTTAAACAATACAAAGTTTTTTTATACAACAAATACAAAGAGCAAAAGTATGCAATCAACATGATTTAAACCAATAACAGTTTTTGATACTAAATTTACATAGAGCTACAAAGAGAGGGATATCAAGAAATGTGAAGATGGAGTGAGAGAAAAAAAAAGGTAATTTGCCTATAGAAAAATAAAGATGTTAGAAAAAAGATGACAATGGAGATGGAAAAAAGTCCTTTACCTACACACAGGGGGCAGATCAGAAAGAATAATTCTTGATCTACATATAGGTGAGGAGAGGAGAAAGAGAACTGCTTTATCTATACACACGTTAATAAGGGGTTGATAAAGGCACTTAAAAAAACCAGTCATAACTTAATTTTGTAAGAGATACTACCCAGAATCAACTGTGGAGATGAAGTTATAAGTAGGTCATTAGGGCTAAATGCTAGGCTTAGGTTAGTATGTAAGGATGAACAGATTGGCTGGTTGGACTTATGGGATCAGTTCAGTGGGAGAAGGGAGCTTTTTGCAATGGATGGCTTACATTTAAACAGAATAGGGGCTGACTTGTTTGCTAAGGCTATTAACTCAGCTGTAAGGGAAGTTTTAAACTAGGACTAGACAGTGGTGAGGGCCAGGAAAAACTGAATGCAAAAAGAATAAGAGGCAGAGAAAAGTTTAGCATAGGAAATGAGTGTAGAAGTAGTTATAAGGATAGGCTTAATTGTTACTATTGTAATGCTAGAAGTATAAGAAATAAAATAGATGACTTCAGAGCACTGGTAGGAATGGAAGATTTTGATATAATGGGAATAAGTGAAACATGGTTAAACATAGATGATTTTGATGACAATTTCTTTTAAATACAGGGTTACAAGCTATCTAGGGATAGAATATTAAAGAGAGGAGGAAGAGTACCTTTATATGTGAAATGTGAGTTACATCTTGTTGAAGTTGAGGATATCAAAGACAATAGCAAAGAGACTGAATCCATTTGGGTTTCTATTAGTGAATATAAAGGGAAAAGGCTTTTAGTGGGAATTTGTTACAGACCACCAAATGATGCTGATGAATTTAGTGAGAAACTTTACAATGAGATTAAGATTTCAGCTGTTAACGAAGTCATAATCATGGGTGATTTTAATTTCAGGCATAGAGATTGGGAAATCCTTGAATCAAACAATGAGGGAGAAAGGTTTTTGGAAACTGTTCAGGATGGCTTCTTTCACCAGTTAGTCAAGAAACCAACTAGAAACAATGCTATTTTAGACTTAATGTTAATCTCAAATTGGGGAACATCTGGGTGCAAGCTATCATTGCTCTATTAAGTTCAATATTTTGCTGCATATGGAGATAGGGAATAATGATATTTTAGTCACAAATTTCAAAAGAGCAACTTTTGAAGGGATGCAACAAGAGTTATCTGTTGTGAATTGGGCAGCTGAGTTATTTGGAGACACTGATCAGATGTGGAAAATTTTTAAAGATATATATATTTAAATATTCAATGTAAACATATTTATAGTAGAAAGAAAAGGGTAGCTACAAGTGAAAAACCAGGTTGGCTCACAAAGAGTTTAAGAAATAAAATTAAAGAAAAGCATCATAAATGTAAATTGACTGGTATGACAGGAGACTTAGAAGATTATAGAAGATCAAGAAAGTTAATGAAACAGGAAATTAGGACATCAAAAAGGATGTATGAGAAAAAGTTGGCTGAAAATGTATAATTTAACAGTAAGGATTTCTGTAAATACATTAAGGGGAAACAAAATGTTAGGATAGGGATAGGACCCTTGAGGGATGATAAAGGAAGGCTAGTATCTGATGATTATGAGATGGCTGGGTTATCAGATTTTAATTTTTTTTGGTTTTTACTAATGAAAATTTAAGCAGTATTCCACATCTTGATCAGTTGATGAATGGAAACGAGATCAAACTAGCATTAATTCTGAGTTGGTTAAGAAAAAATTGGGAAGTTTAAAAAATGATAAGACTCCAGGGCCAGATAATATTTCTCCAAGAGTTTTGATGGAGGTTAAAGATTGGATATGTGAGCCACCTGCTACTATTTTTTGTCAGTCCTTAAATAGAGGGCAGGTACCAGGGGATTGGAAGTTAGCTAATGTAACTCCTCTTTTCAGAGGAGGTGATAAAAATTGTCCCAGTAATTATAATAGACCCATTAGTCTTAAGTCAGTTGTTGGAAAGATTTTGGAAAGTCTATTAAAAGATGCTTTGCAAAGTCATTTAAGAAAGTTTAGAATTTTATTGGATAGTCAACATGGTTTTCAGAAAGCATTTGACAAGGTGCCACATAAAAGGCTTGTAAAAAAATTAGCTCTATAGGTGTGGGTGATAAGTTAGC